CATTAAGCAACAACTCCCCATTCTCCGTCCCCCAGCCCCTGGCAACCATCTTTCTGTCTTTATAAATTTGACTGCTTTAGAGACCTCATATAAGGGGCATCATACATTATCTGTGTTTCTGTGACTAGCTTATGTTAATTACCATAATATTTGCAAGGTTCATCCACTTTGTAGAATGCGTTAGAATCTCTTAAGGCTGAATAATATTCCATTGTATATATGCACCACAGTTTGCTTATCCATTCACCCATCACTGGACACTTATACTGCTTCTACTTCTTAGCTATTGTGAATATTGCTATTATGAACATGGGTGTACAATATCTCCTCAAGACCGTGCTTTCAATTCTTTTGGATAAATACCCAGAAGTAGAATTGCTGGATCATGGGTAATCCTATTTTTAATTTTTTAAGGAATGTCCATACTGTCTTAAAAGCAGATGTCCCATTTTACACTCCCACCAGCAATGCACAGGATTCCAATTTCTACACATCTCCACCAGCACTTGTTACTTTCTCTGTCTCTTGTTAATAGTAGTCAACCTAATAGATGTGATAATCTCATTCTGGTTTTGATTTGCATTTTTGTGGTAGCAAATGATGTTGAGCATCTTTTTATATGCTTATTGGCCATTTGTACATCATCTTTGGAGAAATATCTGTTCAAGTCCTTTGCCCATTTTTGAATGGGTTTTTCTGTTTTCTGTCATTGAGCTTTCTCTATATTTCTGGACATTTAATCCCTCATCAGATTATGTGGTTTACAAATATTTTCTCCCATTTTGTGGGTTGCCTTTTTATTCTGTTGATAGTATCCTTTGGTGGGCAAAAAGGTTTTAATTTTCAAGAAGTCCAGTTTGTCTATTTTTTTTCCTCTTAATTCCTGTGTCTTTGATATCATGTCTAAGAAAACATTGCCATATCTAGTGTCATGAAGCTTTCCCCCATGTTTTCTTCTGAAAGTCTTATAGTGTTAGGTTTTATATTTGAGTCCTTGACCCATTTTGAGTTAATTTCTGTATATGGTATAAGGTTCCAGCTTCATTCTTTTGCAGGCAGATGTTCATTTTTTCCAGCACCATTTGTTGATAAAACTGTCCCTTTCCCATTGACTGGTCTTGGCACCCTTGTTGAAAATCACTTGACCACATATGCAAGTGTTTATTTCTAGGCTCTCTATTCTGCCACACTGGTCTATTTATCTGTCTTCATGCCAGTAACACACTGTTTTGATTACTGTAGCTTTGTAGTCAGTTTTGAGATCAGGAAGCATTAAGACTCCAGCTTTGTTCTTTTCCAAGATTCTTTTGGCTATTTGGTGTCCCATGACATTCCATAAGAATTATAGGATGGGTTTTTCTATTTCTCCAAAAATGTCATTGCAATTTTTTGTTTTGTGTGTGTGTGTGTGCATGTTTTTTTTTTTTTTCAAGTAAATGCAGGGCTGAAACTCATAACCCCAAGATCAAGAGTTGCACACTCGACCAACTGAGCCAGCCAGACACCCCTGTCCTTGCAGTTCTGTTACGGATTGAATTAAATCTGTAGAATTTTGGGTATTGTTGACATCTTAGCAGAATTAAGTCTTTCAGTTCATGAACACAATATGTCTTTCCATTTATTTCTGTCTTTAATTTCTTTCAGCGCTGTTTTCTAGTTTTCACTGTACAGCTCTTTGGCCCCCTTGGTTATGTTGATTTCTAAGTATTTTTTTATTCTGTTTTAAATGGAATTGTTTTCTTGGTTCTGTTTTGTATTTTTCACTGTTAAATGTATAGAAATGCAACTAAGTTTGTTGATTTTGTGTCATTCAGTTTTACTAAATTCATCTATTCTGTGGAATCATCAAGGTTTTCTATATAGTAGATCATGTCCTTTGCACCCATCTTATATTTTAATATTGTTTTGTAACTTTTTTCACTTAATAAATGTTTCAAACATTTCCCCATGTTTCATTTTTAGTTACAGATTTACCAAAATTTGTTAAAACCAGGTATTAATGGACTATACAGGAGAGAAGTGATTCCAGGAACAATGTGTATTGGGTGAAAACCTCAAATTCCCCCAAGCTTCCATTTCAGCAGGGCATGCTCACATCACAGATGTATCATTGGATCTGCCTCGTGAGCTGTCAGAGCATAAAGGCTCGAAGACAGGAGCCCAAACCAAAGGTCTGAAGGCCACTGAGAGGGCCGGCTACTCTCATTTGGGCCCTTCCTGCTGCTCTCTGGCCATTGCTCTTTGTTTGGACTTTAAGTTCCACATGTGGGCTCCTCCAGGAATCTTTTCCTCTGTTGCAAGGGAGGAGGATTCTACCTTACCACACCTGGTCAGAATCCAGCTTCTGAGATTGACTCTTTATTCCTGCTATATGCAGAATAATATTCCTGCTATATGCAGACTGTGCTGCAGTCATCAGATCAGCAACCCCAGGCAGGGGACAGGGGCCAACTGTCATGGCTCCGTGGAGAGAGTGACAACAGGGTATTGTATGTGGTCTGAGGAGGGGTGCAAGAAGGTGTCCAGGAGGGGGGACCTGGAAGCAGAGCCCCAAGGAGAATGGACTTTAGTGGGTGTGCAGGGAGAGGATGCTGGCCGTTGTCATTCAGAGGATGTGACATTGCTTGGCAGCTCTAGGATCCAGGGAATGGATTACTTTCTCTTTTGTCTCTGTCACAGTACAAAGAAAGATGGAATGCAGGAGGCAGTTGGGAATTCATCTTTATCATTGTGCTGTGCCACAGTAAGGGTTTTCTAACTAGTCAGGCCATAGATCCTTTTCCTCAGCTGTACCTCAAAGCCCTTTAGAAAAAAGGAGGTCTGTTTCTACTGAGGGAATGTGAACCACTGTTTTTCTTGGACTGAAGAATCTAGTGCTAAAAGGAGGTAGGGAGCCAGCACTATGTTCGTGCCTTTGTGTAGGTGCACTACCGTATTTCTTCCGCTTTGTGGCACATCTCTACAAAAGCAAACATGGTGCCCATTACCTCAGTCACACCTTTCACCAAAGCACATCTTGATCTCACAAATGTTCACGTGTGAAATGTGACATCTTCAAAGCAATGTGACATGGCCTCTTAATCTCTCTCAGAAGGTGCTTGTAAGGGTGACTGTGTCTTCCCCATTGTTCTGATTAAATAACTTATGAGCAATAGGGCTGAGAATTCCACCAAGGTGCATTCATTGCTCTAACCCAGGCCTATTTCCAGCCCTCAGTTCTGTCTTCCCTTGGAGCCTTAAGGCCCCCTCCAGCTTAACAGTTCCCTCCAGTCTTAACAAAAGCCCATTCCATACAGCTTTGTGGAGCTGAAATGTGAATCTGATCGTGGCATTCCTTTGCTTCAGAGATAGCTATAGAAGATGGTCTGCTTTCCACAGTGGTGCCTTGCTGGGCCCTGCCCCTCTCCCAAGCCTCCTTTCTCTCCACACTCTGCAGCAGCTTGTCAGGCTTATTCTGCATTTCATGCCATATCCCCTCTGCCTGACATTCCCTTCCCTCCTCTTCTGGCTGACTTCTCCTCAACCTTTGGGACTCACTTCAATTGTGATTTCTGTAGGAAGGCCAAGCTTAGGTAGCATTCCACCTGTGCAGACATCCATCACTAGGAGCTTCCTGAGTGCAGAGCTGAGCCATTCACAGCTTTACTTTCCCTCGACTTAGTCCAGTAGCAGGCTCATAGCAGACAACCACCAAGGTGGATGGATGAGAAAACATCCTATTGATACTATGAGTGGGTTAGTGGTCAAGACGAGTACCTGTGCAACAGAGCCCCTCTGCTAAGGTAGCCTCTACTCTGAGTGTTCTTGGGGAGTCAGGCTTGTCTTTGGCTTGCACTTAAGTGATTTTGATGTACTTCTTGAGGGGACATACAATGTCTCATATACTTAAGGAACTGAAAAGCACTCCTATAGTCAGGTGGATACTCCTCCCTGATGGCCTTCTCAAGACTGTCGCTGAGTCAGCTAGAACTTTTTTGGTGAAAATGACAAGTATGCAGATCCAGTTACCTTAGGCAGAAAAGTGAATGAATTAGCATTTTGAGTAGTCTCTTGTATAAAAAACTATCCCCAAAACCTGCTGGCTTAAAACAGTAGCTGTTTTATTATTTATTTGTGATTGTGAAACCTGGCCAGGCCCAGCAGGGACAGCTCAACTTAGTTCTGCATAGAATCTGCTGGGGTGGCTAGAGCAGCTTGGGGCCAGAACAGGTCAGTCTGGGTCCTGTGCCAGGGCCTTGATTCTCACTGTTGTCTGGGTTCTTTGACCCTTTTTATGTGGCCAGCTTGGAGGTCTCTACATGGTGGTCTCAGGGTACTTTAACTTCTCACATGGCAGCTTCTCCAGAAGTCAAAAGTTGAACTGGACCTGTTTGAGGCTTAAGCTCAGAACTAGAACAGCATCACTTCAGTCACATTCTGTTAAAACAGGTCAGAGAGCCAGCCCAAATTCAAGGAGAGGAAAACACACAAGGGCAGGAGTCCTGGGGAAATGTGGTTCAGTAGTGCCTAATCAGATAGCTGCCTCCCCCGGCCTGTGGGACTGAGGTGTCTGGGGTGATCAGTGCTCAGTATAGCAAGTCCAAGGCCAAGCCCAGGTCATCGGGACTAGTTGTGCACATATGCATAGCTCTCACTGGTGCTCTGTCTCTCTACTTCACCTTTCATCTGTAGGCTTTAAATCACTTCCCTGCAGGCAGTGTCATCCTAGCCCTCCAGCATCTCCAGGAGTATCCCCTCCTAGCTTCTCCTGGAGAAGTACATTTCCATACTTGAATCTCAGGCTCTGGAAAAAGCAGCTTGTGTGGCCTTGGGCAACTTTCCTAACTTGTGTGCCTCAGTTTCCCCCTCTGTCAAATGAGGATGTCAGAACTATCTACTTCACAGGACACTGTGAAACTTAGAGAATATCCTGGGCTGTGCTGCCTGCAGGGCTTGAGTGGCACATCAGATGCTCATTAGAGCATGTCATGGACTGGGAAGAAGAGGTCCACAGGGCTTACCCCAGTGTGACTCTGCCTCTCCTGGAAGGAGTAGCTGGCTGGTACCTCCAAGGACTGGCCCATTGCAGCTTCCTGGGAGGTCCTGAGTAGAGATGGTGGTGCTAAGGGGGTTGGCACTCATCGCCAGTGTCCTCACCATACTGGGAGACATCTGCTCTTCTGAATTTCACGAAGCTCTTAGTGGTACTAATCGTCGCCTTCCTCTGGTGTCTAGCAGGACTCTGAACCTCACTTAGTCTCAGCAGTAAGTGCCATGGTCTGCACAGCCTGGGCCCAGAGCCCCTACTGTCCTTTCTTGTTTCTTGAGGCTTCCCTATCAGGCATTTGTCATGGCCCAGATGGGCAAGAAATCCACCTTCTTGCTACTGCTTCCCTCCCAGGTCCTCAGCCTGTGGAAAAGTGTGGCACATTCTCAGCAGCAGCATTTCAGGCTCTCTGGCTTAGCACACCTGGCAGCCACCTGACCCAGGAAGGGTGTGGTGTGCCAGTGTAGTTGTGAGTGCACAGGCACAGGGGTACCAGTTTGAGCATTCCCAGTCCTTCTCACCTGTGTTCTCAGCACCTGCCTTCTTTTACCTACTGTATATTGTTTTCTGGATTCTTCTTTTGAAGATGAAGATGGGACTAATTAGGGTCTGCCATCTAGACTATGGAAGAACAACTTGCAATAACTCTTTCTCCTCATGCCCCCGGAGTGTGCTCCACTGCTGATTCTGGCTCCTTCAAAGCTATAAGAGTACCGAGCTGTGTTGGGGCTTGTCTTGGGAACCCTTGGAGTAAAAGCTCAGATCAGACCAGGGCTGAATTTCCTATATGTTTGGGACAGCTTTGAGTATGCATGTGCTCTAGGAAGGCGATCGGTAGCCACTTGGCTAAGTTTCACCTTTCACTGTAGAGCTCCGATTCTTGAGTATGTACCTGGAGGTGACCGAGGGTCTCAGGGACCAGACTGGAGCTGCCAGTATGATGTCAGGGGCTTGTAGCAGGCTGTGTTGTCTTGGATTTCAGTAAGTAGAAGAGACGAAATAACATGTAATGTGATTTCCAACTTTCCTAGGGTTTCTCCTTGTTCTCTGAGACAAAATGGGTCCCTTGCATTTGGCACACCTGCTTGATACTGGCCTTGCACAGCTGTGTTCCCCACTACCACATGACAAGAAAGAGAGCACATTTCCCTTTGTTTTGTGGAAGCTCAGGCTCAATTTGCCTGTAGGGGTATGGCTATCCAGAAGAAGGTAAGGTGAGCTGGCTGTTTCTTGGGGCCCATGCTGGCCATTGCCTTTTTGAGTACCAATATTTTATTTTCTACACTTAGGCACTAGCCCTAGCAGGATTTTGAGCTCTTAGGCAGCCACCACCTGCCTCTGCCCTGCCCCTCCCTGCCTGCACTTGCCACCATGTGATTCTAGAGCTGGTAACCCTCGTTCTGGTGTCCATGCCAACTCCTCTTGGGTAACAGAGACAAAGCATGCTCAACTAAGATACTCCTCAGCAATAGCACCTTGACTATATCAGTGATTGCTGGTATTCATCATGCATCTAATTTGTCACTAACCAAATGTTACTGAGCCACCACTCACCAGACCTATGCTAGAAGCTGAGAATGTGGTAACGAACACGGCAACAATTGACATGCCACTCTTACCATGAAAGCAGATGAGGGAGCCAGACAAATGCCCACAGGCCCCAGGCCCCAGGAATACTTCTAGTCTGCTGGGTTTCAAGCTGTCACGACGCCTTTGCCAGTCTGGTCCACCAAGCTATAGCTAGCTACCTAGCTTCATGGGCTCCTGGTAGGGTCTGCACCCTGCACTCTAGGAGCTAGTAGCTATAGTCCTTCCCCCTAGACAGACTGAACATCTGGTTGAATGAGGGCTCATCCTGTAGAGGAAGTTCAGCCAGAGGAGATGCTGAGAATGCTGACTTTCCATGGACTTTGACGCAGCACAAATGTATAGGAGGTCTTTTGGAATCAGAAGCATGATGAGGGAAGTGATGCGTGTGATCGCAGTCAGCTACTGGTCCTACCCAGCTGTCAGTGAAGCAAAAAGGCCAGGGTGCTTTATGTGTCCAGGCTGTCAGCCAAGTGCAGATCCATGAGATGGGGAGATGGCTGGAGGTATAGCCGTTGTGACTCAGCTGTTGTCGTGACCTGCTCATAGCCTTTACAACTGTGTGTCCTCAGAAGGTGGCCAGCTCTTGTCTGCTGGACATTTGTGCAAGTGCCCAGGCGATCTGTGGACTCAGTTGTTCTAGTGACAGAATGCTTTGTGCCACTTTTAGACTAAGCTATTTAATGTCACTTGGAGAGTCTTCCAGCAGTTTATACTTTAACTGAAACTGTTAGATCACTCCACCCTTACAGATAATTTATCAACAGCCTATTATTTTTTCCTAGGAGCAGTGATTAAAGATATTACTCAGATAACCACCATTTCAAAATTTTTGACTCTGTTGATATTGTCCAATGAATACAAGCCAAGGTAGACGTTGTGTGTGTGTGTTTTTTTCTTTGTTTCTAGGCAAGCCAATTTTTTCAGTTGATATTCACCCTGACGGGACCAAGTTCGCAACTGGAGGACAAGGTACGTTCACAGAGTAACAGAGGGAGTACTCACAGCCCTGCCACCTTACTCTGCTTCTCCTGGTTGTCCACTGAGCTGAAAATAGAACACTTCTGTTTTTCAGTATGGATAAGATTCCATTTAAAATGTATAATTATAATCTATTATCTGAATAGGTTAAATAAAAATTCTTTTTTGGCTCTAGTGTGCTTGCTCTGTATAAATACTTTGATAGTGGGTGTATCTTTTAAATTCCTATTCATTGGGCTAATATTAAAATCAGTTTGCATCCCCAAGCCCCAACTTATTGAACACGGAGAGTGGCAGGTGGTCCCGGGGGTAGAGCCCCAGTCCCAGAGGCTAAGGTTGGTTCCTCATCTTTGTTCTGGCCACACTTGCTCATCTGAAAAGGAGGAGGAGGTGACTGAACTATGGAGGTAGTCGTGTAGTTATTAGGCCCATTTTCTGGGTTCAGAGGAATTTGGCTGAGTTAGAGAACAAGTATGCTGTAGGCAAGTAAAATGCCCATGCCATTTGAAAATACGGTCCATAGCATTGTCAGTGTACTACATTCAGTGTTGCGGTGTCACAATAATAGCCCTGCTAAGAAAGACAGTCATTTATCAGGCCACTACACCAAGATATATATATGGTGGCATAAAATAGCATTCCCAGAGCCCAGTCCCTGGTAGCTTCACCCCAGAGCAGTGTCTTTCTCTGGCCAGTGACTCCCTGGATAAGAGTGCTTCTGTGAGTTCCAGGTCCTCAGGCTGGGTGCTGCAGAGTGGGCTGTCTATAGACTTCCTGCTGCAGGGGTATGCAGGGAGGTCTTGATTTCCTTCCTGCATGCTGTGGGCTGCACCCAGATGGTGCCCATGATGTCACCTACGGCCACTGGACTAAGCTGAGGGACTGGGTTTTTTCCTCATCCATAAGAAGAGGCATACCTTCCCACCCTCCTCAATAGAGTAAGGTGAAGAAGAGCTGTTTAGGAAATATTTTTACATAGTGGCCAATAGGCAGTTTCAGGTATGCCTTATGGTAATTCTTATCTGTCCATTCGTAGGCATTTAGTGGTTTTTACTCCTCTAAACTAGTTCAATGAGGGGCTAGACTTTTCATTAGGTATCAGTAATGGAAAGCTTAGAAAGAAAAATCATTGCCAAGATGCACACATAAATTTTTTAGCAGAATACTGTATCACTTTATAACACTAGAACAGTAAATGCCCTCTTTCAGTTGATCTCCCATTTGCAGGTGAAAGCAAAGGGCAGATAAGGTAATGAACCTTTTTTCCTATGTTCAGGGCACATTTCATTCAGCCATGGAACCAGGCAACATCTGGAAAGGGACCGAAGTACCAACAGGGATGTGCTGCTATCCTTGGGTCCTGAAAGGGTCCTGGGACATCAACTTTTCCAGCTCTTCATCTTACAGATGAGGAATCTGGGTCTTGGGCCTGGATGAGGACCTTCTGGGAGTCTGGAGAGATCTGTGTTAGAGGCCAGACCAGACCTCAGTGCCCTTCTGTTTTTTAGTGCAGAGTTCTTTTCAAAGTCAGGTTGGCCTCAGCCTACTACTAAATCCACATCGGTTTTGATCCCCGTAAACACTTGTTTTCTTCATCTTTTCCATATATTAGTAATGCAAATTTAGTCTTCTCCAATCTAGTCCATTATGGTTTATGAAAGCTAAATGAGGACTGTGTCTCAGAGTTAATATCAAATTTCTACTTATTGCACATTGAATTATTTTTGTTCCTTCATTCCAGGACAGGATTCTGGGAAGGTTGTGATCTGGAATATGTCTCCAGTCCTCCAGGAGGATGACGAGAAGGATGAAAATATTCCCAAGATGCTTTGCCAGATGGACAATCACTTAGGTATTACAGAGTGGCCCTTTGCAGGCTTTGCGTGTTGGCAGAGTGCCCAAGGTTAGCACATGTGTTTGTAATTAGAAAGATAAGGCCCCGTGCGGCGGTAACTCCCCTCGGCCTGCTGTCTGAAGGCACAGATGTTGGCTGCACACCTGGGTGAGTTATTCGGCAGAAGACTCGGCCCGCCCACAGAACCATCTTTGGACAGTCTGCAGGTACCTCTGGTGATTTCCTGCTCATGAGTCGTTACTGCCTGATACCATGGGGCTTTGGGGCCAGCGACCTGGAAGCAGTAGGGTTCTGGGGAAGGGTGTATTAAAGACAACTCACCAAAATGTCTCAAGATTGCCACTGTGTCACTCTGAAGCCCTCTACCAGGACCCTTTTGTTGGTCAGACAGTGTTGTGGTTTCCTTTCCTACATTTAGCACCTTAGTTTCCTGCCTCTGAGCAACAGGGTGACTGTATCTGGCTCTGGTTTCCAACCCAGTTGCCTCCCCGGAGATGCTCCGTTAACAGTTATGTCCTCCCTTCCTTGACTCTGTGTGTTCTTGCTCTCCCATCTGTCTCTCAGTGCCCTCTGACGTGGAGTACAAGTCACAGGCAAGCCGTTTGTGGGCTACAACTTGGATAGTGTCCCTTGTATTGCAGGGCTCCCAAAGGCCCAGCTGTGAGTTGCTCTAACCCATTAGGGGCCAAGGAAGCATTTCTGCTGGTCTTAATTTATAAGTGCAGAACCAGTCAACCTGCAGTGCTGACAAGTTTGGAAAATCCAAATTTAAAAGGGCTACAGATGGGATGAAGTCAGAGATTTAT